GGCGTTTTTCCTCTCCAGAAGGGAGTCTCTGCCTCTTCCACCTCAGTTAGGATTGTCCGTTGTTGCAGGAGTTCCTCTTATCCAGTTTTCAGTTCTATCTCAGGGGTAATTTTTCCACGAGTAGTTGTAAATTGGCTGTGTCCGCGGGAGGAGGTGAGTTCCGAGTCTGCTTACGCCGCCATCTTGACTCCGCCTCCGGGAATTCCTTCTTTACCTATGTGTTATTTAAAGTGTGTTGTTTAATATCCAAGTGTTTTGGGATTTTCCATCTATGTTTAATTTATTGATTTTTAGTTTAATACCAGTATGGACAGACATTATGTGATTCTATCCCTTTACACTTGTTTTTAAGGTTTTTTTTATGGCCCAGAATGTGGCCAATTTTGTGAAGGTTACATGTGAGTTTGAGAAGAATGTGTATTTTATTGTTTTTGGATGAAGTATTCTATGAATGCCAATTAGATCTGGTTTGTTGATGGTGCTGTTCAGTTGAATTATGTCCTTAATTATTTCAGTCTGATGTATCTGTCGATACCAAGAGAGGAGTGTTGTTGTGTCCAACTATAATAATGAATTTGTCTATTTCTCCTAGCAGTTATATCAGTTTTTACTTTTGTATTTTGTATTATGGTATTTATGTATTTTGATGCTCTGTTGTCAGGTACATACATATTTAGGATTGTTGTGGTTTCTTGGAGAATTGACCCCTTTATCATTACATAATACTCATCTTTATCCCTGATAATTTTCCTTGATTTAATTCTGCTTTGTGTGAAATTATTATAGCTATAAAACTTTATATACAAATACAATATATGTAGCTAATTATTATAGCTTTCTTTTTTTAAAGACTATTTTTTAAGAGCAGTTTTATGTTTGCAACAAAATTGAAAGGGAGATACAGAGATTTTCCACATATCCCTTGCCCCCAAACATACATAGCCTCCCCCTTTATCCTCATCACTTGCCAGAATGGTACATTTTTTACCAAGGATGAATCTACTTGACACATCATAATCACCCCAATCCATAGTTTACATTAGGGTTCACTCTTGGTGTGGTACATTCAGTGGATTTGGACAAATGCATAATGAAATGTATCCATCATTATAATATCATACACAGTATTTTCACTGTCCTAAAAATCCTCTGTGCTCTGTGTAGTCATCTCTCTCCAGCTCACTCTGGCAACCATTGATCTTTTAGGTTAGGCTTTGGTTAACTAGCTTCTTCTGTGGGCAGGCCTTGTTTACAATAATAGAGTGCTTTGGCCTATTTCAAAATGATTCCTTTCCCCCTCACTTTGTTGGAAGTATAAGGAGATTTTTGTCTGATATTTACTGTGAGAACATGGTCCAGATAAATAACGATTAAACTCTTCTGAGCCACTGACACTTTTGGAATTCTGAAGAAAGCTTCAGGCCCATTAACAGAATTTTTTTCTCAATTTCCTCTTTTATTTTTCCTGCTATTTTTATTTATTTATTTATTTTTTTTAAAGATTTTATTTATTTTATTTTTTCCCCCCAAAGCCCCAGCAGATAGTTGCATGTCATAGCTGCACATCCTTCTAGTTGCTGTATGTGGGACTCAGCCTCAGGATGGACGGAGAAGTGGTGCCTCGATGCGCACCCGGGATCCCAACCCGGGCCGCCAGCATTGCAGCGCGCGCACTTAACCACCAAGCCACAGGGCCGGCCCTATCCTGCTATTTTTAAATCACTGGAAATTTTAGTCCAAACCACAACTTCTTCTTTTGAGGTATACTTTATATTGGAATTCTCTTAGCCTCTTCAGAATGTTTAGCAGTTTTTCTCTGAGCTCTGGCCTCTTTGAAAGAAGCCAATTCTCTGGGTAACGTCTTCAAGGAGAGAGATACAAGAGGTTCCTGGACCTTCTAAACATAGGGAGCCCACGTAATGGTGCAAGAAGGGCAACCTCAAGGTAGAGGTGAGTATTCCCTTTCTCAGTTCCAGAGAGTAAGGTAGAAGTATACACTTCTACCTACCTCCATCATCTGAGATGATAAGAGTCATCTGCGGAGAAGAAGCAGACAATGGAAAGATTGAGGGATAGAGATTAGACCACTATAGTAGGGTCATGGGAAATTGAAGGAAAGAATAATTGCTTAGAGCCAGAAGCACTTGAAAGAATAAGAAACCAAATATTAATACTGTGGTATGAGAGGTGGGAGACAAAAGTGATATTTTGAGAAAGACAGTGAATCAATGGATGAATGTGGTATTTAAAAAGAAGGAATAAGGAAATGGCAGTTACAGTTGGTGGAGAGTGAGTTTTCCCCAGATTGTTGTGGGCTTCAGAGCTACTACCTGGTCCTTTATTCTGAGGGAGTCTCTAAGCACTCTTCTTGTTTTTTTTTTTTAAATTTTTTTCTTTTCTTTTTTGGTGAGGAAGATTGCCCCTGAGCTAACATCTGTGCCAATCTTCCTCCATTTTGTATATGGGATGCCACCACAGCATGGCTTGATGAGTGGTGTGTAGGTCCATGGCGGGGATCCAAACCTGTGAGCCTAGGGCTGCCAAAGCAGAATGCAAGAACCCAACCAGTACACCACTGGGCTGGCCCCCAATCTTCCTCTTTTTTGCTTGAGAAAGATTGACCCTGGGCTAACATCTGTGCCAATCTTCTTCTGTTTTGTATACGAGATGCCGCCACAGCATGGCTTGAGGAGTGGTCTGTGCCTGGGATCCAAACCGCAAACCCTGGGGCTGCTGAAGCATAGCATGCGAACTTAACCACTATGCCACTAGGCTGTCCCCATAAGCTCTCTTCTTGTTTTAGGTTTTTAATTACTCTGAGAGTCTTTGTCTGGTTTCTTCATTGCTCTAAGCTTCTTAGGAACTCTGGCTTCTTTTCCCCCTAGTGACTGCATTTGTCTTGCTGATCTGACAGAGAAAGCAGTATGGTGGTTCCAAGTGAGGCTCTGGTCTGTTGCTGTGATTTCCATAGCACTCCTTGGGGTTCGTTTCATTGTGAGCTGTGTGGGTAAGTTCTTCACTGAGGTGCCACGTCTCTTGATCTCTTTCCTTATCATGTTCTATAAAGATTCCCTAGTGTGTGTTTTCCTTTACACCATTAATATGTTAGCTCTTACTTGGAATGCCACGTTTTTCTTGATTTCTCCTCCTCCTCTTCCTTTTTCTCCTCTTCCTCCATCTTTTGATAATTGACTCTGCATCCAGATTTATTTTACCTAGTTTTATTAGTATTTTCCCATTCATGACCTTACGTGTGAATGTGTGTTAGTTATAGCCATCCTCTAAGACAGCATCTTCCACTACCGGGTTCACTAGTGATCACATGTTCTCTAGTCACAAAAGCCCTCTATTAAGAGTGCAAATATAATTGTTTTTATAATCGTAATACTGTAAGTTAGGGTCTTTGATTTTCTTGTGGGAGTCTCTCCCAATATGAGAGGAAAAAGTATTTAAATGAAATATTGGAGATATAAGGGAATAAAATATTTCTTCCCTGTTCTATTTGCCTTTAAATAAATATTTCAAGTTCATTTTGTGAGAGGTCTCAAAGACATTTTTGTTTTCTAATCTACAATTTGGTTCTGTATTCACTGATAAGGTGATTAAAAATAGTTATCAAATAGTCAGGGAGGGAGTAAACGTGACTTCCTATTCAAATAGACCATGTTTTAATTCCTTCTGAGATATAAATAAATCTCATTGTCTATATTAGAACACAAAAAACTATTACCAAAGGTATATCTGCTTTACTTTTCATGGCCAAGTGTAAGAGAGGAGTATTTAAGAATAGTTATTTCATTAATCAAGAGGAAGCAGATATTCAGGACCCCAAGACAGGCTAAGAGAAAGATAAAAAAGTTTGACAGTATTGAGCTTCAGTAGTAGAAGGACAAGAAAGAAATGAGTGAAGAATCAAGTTATGTCTGAGATAGAACAGATCTTGGTCAAAGTACACACTCCCTTGAAAATAAAAGTTAGTGTTCATTTGAGACATTTAAAATGTCTCTAAGTGTTTAAAAGCTTCCCTTGGTTGTTATTTACCCCATATGTTTATCTGTAGGTACCAGTGGTCAGAAATTTTAGAAAATATCAAAATAACTTGCAAGCTTGCTTAGAATTATTAAAATTAAGGAGAAGCAGACAGCCAGTGAGTCAACAAATAACTATTGATTACTTTGTGACACTCACTCTTCTAGGTGTTTGTGATTAATTGATGTAGAAAACAGACAGAATCTCTGCCCTAGAATATAGAGCTTAAAATTCAATGGAGAAAGAGCTAAACATAAATTTGCAGGCATATAAACAAACAAGATAAATGAATGTAAGCAAGCAGTCATTCAGCATGGTCATTATCGGGCTTGCACAGAGAGAAGAGAGTGGTGGTGGTTGGAGTTAAGCCAGCTTGGCCCAGATTTATAGAGCATACGGCTCTATGGTAAAAGAATGGATAGATACTAACGCTTCGTCTTCCTTCACAGTGACTTATTTTACATATGACAAAACTGGCAAAAAGCTGTCTGAACTACATACATATTATTCAAGTCTAACCTGCTTCAGTGAAGGGACAAGGGTGACAGGTAAGGTGTTGCAGTGCTTAATCTGACTTTGTCTTTTCTCAGAGAGCTGTCAGGGTTAGTTCAAGATCAGTTTATTTTATTTTTTTTTAAAGTCTCTGCTTAGATATCTTTAGAATATCATTAAGCTTACATGTTCATATCAGGCTCTAGATTTGCCCTCAAAACAATCCCTCCTCCAGACTTCTTGATCTCAATAAATGCTACCAACATACACCATGTAATGTGCTCAAGCCAACCCTGGAAATTATTCATAACAATTCTCTGTTCATCCTTATCAAATGGATAAAATTCTCTTTTTGGTATCTAAATTCCCAGTTAATAATACCCAACTCTATTCCAAGTACCAACTTTATTACTGGTCAGTTTGGATCTTGGACCATGGTTCAGGATGAGACTGCCCCCACTCTAAAATATTGTCCTGGTAACTTCGTATGTGGAGAGTTGGGAGAGTTGAATTCAGAATCATGGTCTGACTCGTGTTATGTCTAGTGAAGAAAGCCAAAGAAAGGCAAAGTGCATGTTTGCAGTGGTCTTTATGGCCTTACTCCTTCCAAGAAAAGAATCCCAAATAGATGTCAGACACTTGCTATTTCAAGAACTAAATAATTCACTCTTCTGCTTTTATGGAGAAACACATGAGAAGTAAAGAGAGGACTGAAGTTTCTTTGTATTTCTATGAGATGTTTGAATTTCCCCTTTTTTGGTATTTGGCAAGAATATTGTGCATGGGGGTGGTAAAAAATGATTTTCTCTACACTCTCTGACCTATAATTTTCTTGTTACATTGGGGTTCTTTGGTCAAACAATTGTAGAGGTGACCCTTCTGAGGAGGAAAACATAATTCTATCAGGGTTGTCTTCTTCCCATCTTTTGGAGGCACTTCTACAGCAACTGGAGTTTGAAAGAATATCTTCCTGGAAGCAGCAATGGACACTTCAGCCTTGGCCTTCAGAATGCTCTGAAATGAATGAGACAGAGATAGATATTAATTAAATTAACTCCACATCTGTCTAGCATAAAAGACTGCAAATTTACTCCCTAAATATATCCAACCCAATATTATGGTCAACCAGGCTGTTCAATACAACTAATTTAAATTACAGATAAGTTTACACAATGAAATTATTTTATATAATGCCACGACAGCAAATAAAATAGTAAAATTTTAACAATATCCTTTCAAATTATTATTACAATGAAAAGAAAAAATAAAAGTCCAAACACAAAATTTCTGTTTTGATTAAAGTTAAAAAATAATTGAAATCCACATTATAAATTCTCCACTTTGCTTTCCACTCGGTCCCAGTCAGAGCCTTGAGATGTTCAGGTGCATGGGTAAAGTTAGTTTCTTCAACAGGTCTATGCTTCGCCTAGACTTGTGGTCTTCCACCTGTTTTGCTTGAGAACTCCCCTCAAAAGATTTTGAAAAATGATGTACCCTCTTATACAATTTAATTTGACATCTAAAATTTTTCATCATGTTATAGAGGCAAAGGCTTTAGTTTCTGGGACATTGTAAATATTAACTTTTAAAAAACAAAACAATTACATCTGTTTTTAAAATGTATCTACCAGTGTCTAAATACCATTACAAAGTGTTACCCCCACACCCAACCTCTATTAAAAAAAAAAAAAGAATAACATGTATTATTTAACAGTCAGATGTTTTGCATCATTCTTTTTCCTTTTTGGACTAATATTTACATCACACTCCCCCATCTACCAAAAAATGTAAATAAGTCTGTCTAATATTTTTATTTCCTGTGGAACATTAGGCTTTACGTGTTATAAAATTTCTTCTGGATTGACATCTTACAGTTCTTATCAGGATATAAATCCAAACATCACAAATTTATTATAAATTTTGATAACTTACTACTAATAAAGTAAGACTGTATTGGAAGCCCATCTCCTAATGAGATGAATGTGACTTTTAAAAAAATGCAATCAGGAGGGCCGGCCAGGTTAAGTTTGTGCGCTCCACTTTGGCGGCCCAGGGTTTGCAGGTTCGGATCTCTGGTGTGGACCTACACACAACTTATCAAGCCATGCTGTGGCAGGCATCCCACATATAAAGCAGAGGAAGATGGGTACAGATGTTAGCCCAGGACCAGTCTTCCTCAGCAAAAAGAGAAAGATTGGCAACAGATGTTAGCTCAGGGCTAATCTTCCTCACCAAAAAAAAAAAAAAAAGCAATCAGATGTACCTACTATTGAATAATACTATTACTAGAATGAGATAGAATTCAACATCAATTCTACTCCTATTTTTCAATGTAGTGACACAATCTGATAAATCTTATCTAAATAAGTAGATAGGAATAGAAGGTGCTTTGTTAGAATGTCCCCCAATTTTTTGAACTTTTTCAGTTATTTGCCAAAAATCAACAGTGTTCTGTTATCAAAAATTATTTGTAATGATCTGTTAACTGAGAATTTGATTAGATTATTCTTCAATGTTGCTGAAAGTAAAGAATAATAAATGGAATAACTTGTGAAAGATTTGTTATTTCTCAGTCCATAATCATTTGCTTTCTCAATTTCTGGTAAGTACACTAAAAAAAACTTTTATGAGTCTTATCAAATGACTTAATTATACTTGTTTTTTAATACTTACAAAGCACCTTGATCAGCTCATTATTCTCAGAACAATTGGGAAAATAAAATATTATTAATTTCAGTATATCTTTTTGACAAATACTTCCAGTCATCACAGCTTTCAATATTTTTGTCAACTTTGGAGCTGAGATTTAGCATATTCAACATCTGAAAAATGTTTGCCATATACAAGTTAATTGGCAAAGCCAATTCTCACCATTAAAACAGTCAGCCAAATTAGACTTTTTAAATGAAAATAATACATTAATACATGCTTTGAGGAGTATTATAAAAAGTAATCTTTAATAATGCACAGACTGCAAAATTAAGATAGATTTCTAAAAGTGGCCAATATTAAAATGATAGAGATATAGTCTATTTTATTCACTTCATAATATTATAAAAGGAAGAATAGGTCTATAGACGGTTTCTCATCATTTAGTATGTAGTGATGTAACAACATAAGAAAATGAATCAAATAGAGCTACATATAACAACATGGATGAATCTTGGCAATATGGAATGAAAAATTAAGCCCAAGAAGACCACATATATTCTAATACCTTTAAAAAAATTCAAAACCCAACAAATCAAAACAACTTATCGTTTAGGTATACATATATATGTGCTAAAATTATATGTATATGTAATCAAAATATGACGGTGGATTTATATATGGTTACTAGAGATTTTTTCAATCTTAGGAGAGTGGCAAACTGGTGCTTCTAAGGGGAAAGGAGAGAGAACTGATATTTGTTTAAACTCTTACGTGATTGATACTGTGTAAAAATTAGTAATAGGTAATATTTATGACCAATTATTCCACCTTAAGCACCTTTTAAAGTGCTTTACACATATTATGTGATTAATCTCCCTTTGAGGTGGTGCTGTTATTATTTCTATTTTAAAGATGAAATAACTGAGGCTCAAGTAGGTTATGTAATTTGTCCAAAGGCATATATAATGAATGGTGGAGCCCAAATTCTAATGAAGCATAGTCCTCATAACCACCCTGTGAATAATTATCATTTCCTTTTTAAAAACCTGAGGCTCTGTGGTTTGCCCAAGATTATTAAGCAGAATTGGTGTTCCAGATACACCTGTGTTAGTTGTTTGTAACTCTGATAGAACTTGGTGCTTCTAACGTATAAGAGATACAAAGAACAGACAACAAACAAACATTAATAGCAATTTTTTTGGCAAAAAACCCAGAGCAATTCTGCAGGTAAACCTTAGTAAATACTGAGGACTTAATGTTAAAGAATGTTTATTTAAAAGCAGTTCTATGGCCCCAAATTATATTATTCAGGGAACAGTAAACACGTGAATTAAGAAGCCTGTCTCTAGAAAAAAACCACAGATCCTTGGAATTTTATGTGTATAGAACATACATCTTTACTCTTATTTATCTCATCTTGCTCTTACTTTTCTCTTTCATGCAACATAGAAAAAGCCTGGGGATGTTGTCCAAGTACTTGGAAGTCATTTGGTTCCAGCTGCTACCTCATTTCCACTGAACAAAATTTTTGGACCAAGAGTGAGCAGAACTGTGTTGGGATGGGGGCTCATTTGGTGGTGATCAACACAGAAGCAGAGCAGGTACTTTTCTTTATTTTTCATTAAAATTTTTTTTAACTGTGGAAAAAGTAACAAAATTTATCCTGTTTTTAAGTGTACCGTTCAGTAGTATTAACTATATTCACATTGTTGCAAAAAGATCTCTACAAATTTTTCGTCATGCAAAACTGAAACTCTATACCCACTGAACAACAATTACCCATTTCCTCCTCCCTCCAGTCCTGGCAACCACCTTTCTACTTTCTGTTTCTTGAATTTGACTACTTTACATACCTCCTTAAGTGGAGTCATACAATATTTGTCTTTTCATGACTGCCTGATTTCACTTTGTATAGTATCCTCAAAGTTCATCCACGTTGAAGCATGTGACAGGATGTTCTTCCTTTTTAAGGCTGAATCATATTCCATTACATATATATATATTTATACTGCATAATGTTTATCCATTCATACATTGATGGACATTTGGGATGCTCTCACCTCTTGGCTATTGTCAATAATGCTACAATGAATATGTGTGCAAATATCTCTTTGAGATCCTGCTTTCAATTATTTTGGATATATCTTTCTTCTATTTTGAATTAATTTTTGTGCATGGTGTAAGGTAAGGGTCCACCTTCATTCTTTTGCATGTGGATATCCAGTTTTTCCAACACCATTTGTTGAAGAGACTGTCCTTTCCCCATCGTGTAGTTTTGGAACCTTGTTGAAGATTGTTTGCCACTTATACAAAGGTTTATTTCTGGACTCTATTCTGTTCCATTGGGGTATATATCTGTTGTTATGCCAGTATCAGACTGCTTTGAGAGCTACAGCTTCGTAATGTGTTGTAAAATCAGGAAGTGTGAGGCTTCCAAATTTATTCTTTTTTTTTTCAAGATTGTTTTGGCTACTATGGGTCTCTTGAATTTCCATATGAATTTTAGGATTTTTTTTCTATTTATATTTAAAAGGCAAAAAACAAACAAACCATTGGGGTTTTGACAGGAATGGCACTGAATCTGTAGATTGCTTTAGGTAGTATGGATATTCAACAATAGTAAGTAACAAAAGTAGGTACACATCAAAAAGGTACATATTTGGCCTGTGTGCCAAGCTGGCTCAGATGCAAGTTGTCTCTGCTGAAGAGGGAAGATGGTGCTTGATGGACCAGAGCAGGTGGAGCCAGAAGAGGGGAAGGCAGGCAGTAGACTCTGCCAATATTATCTTTTCAAGATTGAAGATCTCCAGCTGATTGTAAATGATGTAATTATAAGAAGATATATAATTATACATATAATTGTAAGAATATATATAAAATTTTATATAATTATAAGAATCACAAGGTATGAGGTGGTATCTCATGACCATGGATGTCTTCCCATTTACTTGTGTTTTCTTTCAAAAATGTGTTGTAGTTTTTAGATTACAAGTTTCTTGCTTCCTTAGTTAAGTTTATTACTAAGTATTTTATTCTTTTGATGCTATTGTAAAGGTGATTGCTTTCTTAATTTCTTTTTTAGATTGTTTATTGTTAGTCTATAGAAATGCAACTGATTTTTGCATATTGATTTTGTATCCTAAACTTTGCTGAATTTGTTTACTAGTTCTAACAGTTTTTTCTAGCTTTAAAGAGATGCAATTAACATAAAATATTGTATAAGTTTAAGATGTACAATGTGATGATTTAATAGACATATACACATTCAAAGTTAGTACCCTTTGAATAACATTTCCTCATTTCTCACACATCCTCATCACCTGGACCACCATTATAGTCTCTGATTGTATGAGTTTGGTTTTTTTAGATTCCACATATAAGGGAGATCATACAGTATTTGTTTTTCTCTCTCTGACTTATTTCATTTAGCACAATGTCATCTAGGTTAACCCATGTTGTCACAAATGGCAGCATTTCTTTCAGTTTTATGGCTGAATAATATTACATTGTATATATATATTTACCACATTTTCTTCGTTCCTCTATGGACATTTTGGTTCTTTCCATATCTTAACTATTGTAAATAATGCTGCAATAAACATGGGGGTGCAGATATATCTTCAAGATAGTGATTTTATCTCCTTCTAATATATACCCAAAATTGGTAGTGCGGGATCATATTTTTATTTTTCTATTTTTAATTTTTTGAGTAACCTACACAGTGTTTTTCATAGTGGCTGTACCCATTTACATTCCCATCAACAGTGCACACAGGGACCCTTTCTCCACATTCTCAACCACATTTATTATCTCTTGTCTTTTGATATTAGTCATTCTAAATGGTGTGAGGTGATATTTCATTCCAGTTTGATTTACATTTCCTTAATGATTAGTAATGTTGAGCACCTATTGGCCATTTGTATGTATTCTTTGGAAAAATGTCTATTTGGGTTCTTTGCTCATTTCTTAATTGGATTTTTTTACTTTATTTATTTATTTTCATTGAGTTTGTAAGTTCCTTGTATATTTTGGATATTAAACCCTTATCTGGTAGCTGATTTGCAAATATCTTCTCCATTCTGTAGCTTGCCTTTTCATTTTGTGATTATGTCCTTTGCTGTGCAGAGCTTTTTTAGAAGCTTAGAACTCTGTGGTTCAGTACATAGAAGTTTCATCTATAAAACAAGGAGAATGTGATAATTACCACAGGAAATTACAATGTCTGATATATCACAAACATTACCTGTAACTACTTTTTAATCAAAATAACATCACATCAAAAAGGTACATATTTGGCCTGTGTGCCAAGGTGGCTCAGATGCAGGTCATCTCTGCTGAAGAGGGACGATGGTGCTTGATGGACCATCAAGAGCAGGTGGAGCTGGAAGAGGGGAAGGCCGGCAGTAGACTCTGCCAGTAGTATCGTTTCAGCTTGAAGGTCTCCAGATGATTGCAAATGATGTAATTATAAGAAGAAAACTGGAAAATTCACAAATATGTGGAAATTAAACAACATGCTACTGACCAACCCATGGGTCAATGAAAAAATCAAAAGAGAAATCAAAAAATATCTTGAGACAAATGAAAATGAAAATACAACAAACCCAAACGTATGAGATGTAGCAAAAGCAGTTATAAGAAGGGAGTTCATAGTGACAAATGCCTACCTCAAGAAACAAGAAAAATCTCAAAGAAACAACCTAACTTTATACCTCAAGGAACTAGAAAAAGAAGAACAAATAAAGGCCAAAGTTGGTAGAAGGAAGTACAAAGATCAGAGCAGAAATGAATGATATAGAGACTAAAAAAACAATAGAAAAGATCAATGAAACCAAGAGCTAGTTCTTTGAAAAGATAAACAAAATTGACAAATCTTTAGCTAGACTCACCAAGAAAAAGAAGAGGACTGAAATAAATAAAATCATAAACGAAAGTTGAGACATTACAACTGATACTACAGAAATACAGAGGATCATAAGAGACTACTACAAACAATTATATGCCGACAAATTGGACAACCTAGAATAAATGGATAAATTCCTAGAAATATATAACCTCAAGGACTGACTCATAAAGAAATAGAAAATCTGAACAGACCAATTACTAGTAAGATGATTTCATCACTAATCAAAAAACTCCCAAGAAACAAAAGTCCAGGACCAGAAGGCTTCACTGGTGAATTCTACCAAATATTCAAGGAAGGATGAATACCAATCCTTCTCAAACTCTTCCAAAAAAGAAAAGAGGGAAGAAACAATTCCAAACTCATTTCATGAGTTCAGCATTGCCCTGATACCAAAACCAGGCAAGGACATCACAGGAAAAGAATATTGCAGGCCAATATCCCTGATAAAAACATATGCAAAAATTCTCAATAAAATATCAGCAAACTGAATTCAACAATACATTAAAAGGATCATACACTATGATCAAGTGATATTTATTCCAGAGATGCAAGGATAATTCAACATTCACAAATCAATGTGACACACCCACATTAACAAAATGAGGACTAAAAATCATAGGATCAATTCAATAGATGCAGAAAAAGCATTTGACTAAATTCAACATCCATTTATGGTGAAAACTCTCAACAAAGTGTATAGAAGGAACGTACCTCAACATAGTAAAGGCCATATATGACAAGCCCCCAGCTAACAGCATATTCAATGGGGAAAAGATGAAAGCTTTCCCTATAAGATCAGGAACAACACAAGGATGCCCACTCTCACCACTTTTATTCAACATAGTACTAGAAGTCCTAGCCAGGGAAATTAGGCAAGGAAAAGAAATAAAAGGAGTCCAAATCAGAAAGAAAGAAGTAATACTGTCACTATTTGCAGATGACACCATATTATATACAGAAACCCCAAATCTCCACCAAAAAACTGTTAGAACAAACAAATGGCTTCAGTAAAGTTGCAAGATACAAAATCAAAATATAGAAATCTGTGGCATTTCTACACACTAATAACCAACTATCGGAAAGAGAAATTAAGAAAATAATCTCATTTACAATTATATCAAAAAGAAGAAAACACCTAGAAATATGTTTAACCAAGGAGGTGAAAGACCTGTACACTGAAAACTATAAGACAATGATGAAAGAAATTGAAGAGGACACAAGTAAATGGAAAGATATTCTGTGCTCATGGATTGGAAGATTAATATTGTTAAAATGTTCATACTACCCAAAACAATCTACAGATTCAATATAATTCCTAACAAAATTCCAATGGCATTTTTCACAAAAATAGAGCACACAATCCTAAAATTTGTATAGAACGCCAAAGGACCCCAAATAGCAAAAGCAACCTTGAGAAAGAACAAAGCTGGAGGCATCACACTCCCTAATTTCAAAATATATTACAAGGCTATAGTAATCAAAACAGTACGGTACTGGCATAAAAACAGACACAAATTGATGGAACAGACTAGAAAGCCCAGAAGTAAACCCATGCGTATATCATCAATTAATTTATGACAAAGGAGCCAAGAATATACAATGTGGAAAAGACAGTTTCTTCAATAAATGATGTTGGAAAAACTGGAAAGCCACATGCAAAAATATGAAACTGGAGCACTATCTTACACCATACACAGAAATTAACTCAAAATTGATTAAGGAAAAAAAAATGCTCTCACCGCAGAAGATAGATTTTCTTTTCCATACAGTGCTAGAGACACAACATAAACTCTCTCCACCTCTGTTTTTATTTTATTTTTTCTATCTCTATAGTGTTTTCTTTTTTTATACTCTGTGCAGGCAATGCCAAAAAAACTGGATTGGAGACTTTAATGTAAGACCTGAAACCGTAAAACTTCTGGAAGAAAACATAGGTGGTAAGCTCCTTGACATTGGCCTTGGTGATGATTTTTTGGATTTGACACCAAAAGCAAAGCCAACAAAGCAAAAATCAACAAGTGGGACTACATCAAACTAAAAACTTCTACACAGCCAAGAAAACCATCAAAAAAATAAAAAGGCAACCTATTAAATGGGAGAAAATATTTGCAAATCATATATCTGATACAAGCTTAACATCCAAAATATATAAAGAACTTACACAACTCAATAGCAAAAAACCCCAAAACAAACAAACAAACAAAAAACCCCAAGCAGTCTGATTAAAAAATGAGCATAGGATCTGAATAGACATTTTTCCAAAGAAGACATACAGATGGCCAACAAATACATGAAAAGATATTGAACATCGCCAATCATCAGGGAGATGCAAATCAAAACCACAATGAGATATCACCTCACACCTGTTGGAATGGCCTTTATCAAAAAGACAATAAATGCAAGTGTTGGCACAGATGTGGAGAAAAGGGAACCCTTGTGCACTGTTGATGGGGATGTAAATTGGTGCAGCCACAACGAAAAACAGTATGGAGGTTCCTCAAAAAATTAAAAATAGAACTACTATATGATCCAGCAATCCCACTTCTAGGTATTTATCCAAAAAAACCCAAAGCACTAACTCAAAAAGACATATGCACCACCATGTTCATTGCAGCCTTATTTACAGTAGCCAAAGTATGGAAACAACCTGTGTCAACTGACAGCTGAATGAATAAAGAAAATGTGGTATATATGTAGAATGGTATATTTTTCAGCCATAAAAAAGGAGAAAATCTTGCCATTTGTGACAACATGGAGGGACCTTGAGAGCATTATGCTAAGTAAAATAAATCAGACAGAGAAAGACAAATATCGTATAATCTCACTTACATGTGGAATCTAAAAAAAACACCAAGCTCATAGATACAAAGAACAGAATGGTGGAGGGTAGGGGGTGAATGAAATGGTGAAGGGAGTCAAAAAGTACAAACTTCCAGTTATAAAATAAATAAATCATGGTGATGTAATGTACAGCATGGTGACCATGGTTAATAATACTGTATAGCATATTTGAAAGTTGCTAAGAGAATAGATCTTAAAAGTTCTTATCACAAGAAAAAAAATTCTGTAATTATGTATGGTGACAGATGTTAACTAGAGTTATTGTGGTGATCATGTCACAATATATACAAATATCAAATCATTATGTTGTACACTTGAAACTAATATAATGTTGTATGTTAATTTTACCTCAAAAAAAGGTATCTATTCTTGTTCACTAAAATTAATTAGGCAATTTGGGAATGAGAGACAGATTCTTTCTTTCTCTCTCTCCTTTTTAAATTCCTTAATATGGAGCTACAGATACACTTAAGCTGCAATAACAATACCAAAAAGTGAAATGGGTGTTTGCTTTTTAAAATCATTGAAATATGTAAAAGGCCTTGGTAGATAAAAATATTATTCCATGATGAGCAGAGTACTTTTAAAAACAGAAAGTCATGTCAGGGAAATTTACCTATACTTTATAAAACACCCTTGGCTGAGAAGCAGCCTCTCTTCCCCAGGATATTTGCTTTATGTCAGAGAATCTCAGGATTTCTCTTAAGCCTGCAGGTTCAATTCAAAATTAATTAAAAAATAATTGCACTTACCTCAAAGGAATTACCTATGGGAAAACAATCTAGATAGATCAAAAAGGTAATATAGAAGCCCAAATGGAAAAACAAGACTAATAATTTTTTAAGAAATTAATCACTACAGTTAAAATCTAGTAAGCACTCCTTTAAGTTTAACTTTTGCAAGTAATTTACTACTTCCTAGAGAAGTACTATGTAGGAGAGTAGAGAAAGAAATTTGAATTTTGGTAAACCAAATGCAATTTCACTGGAAAACAATCAGAAATAAGATGGAATGCATCTAAACTTGTAAAATTAAAAAATGATGGAAGTGCAAAAAGTGACATGTACACTTAAAGGGAATTCTGTCTCTTGGTAAAGAAAAGAATACATTCTGCCTGAGATGTGAATTCATCATCGTCTTGTGATGACGTTGGTGAATTTGTCCTATTCTCTTGTCCACTGAGCCATCATGTGACTGTTCCGCACACCTTGCATTTTCTTTTCTCTTTAGAGCTATAAAGAACTCTTACTCTGTTCAATCTGTAAATTTCAGTCTATAACTCCTTTTTCCTCATGTAGAATTTCATTGTCCAGCAGCTGAATGAATCACTTTCTTATTTTCTGGGACTCTCAGATCCACAAGGGACTGGCAATTGGCAATGGATTGATAAGACACCTTACATGGAAAATGTCAGGTGAGTGCAGACTCAGACTAATGAACCATAGCGTCTTGTTTACATAAAAAATTTAGGGAAATTTGTTAGCAGTGACTATTAATGATAATACTAACAGTCATAATGATGATAACAGATTCTAACAATTATTGAGCTCTTATTAAGTGCATGCATTATCTCACAAACTTCTTGAAAACTTCTTTTTCAAGTTCTTTTTCAGAACTCATTTTACTGATGAAAAATTGAAAAACTTGCTCAAGGTCAATAAATTAGTAAGATGAGAAACTGAGTCTCAACTCCATGTCTATCTAACTCCTAAGATGGTGCTCTTAGCATTATATTTTGCTGCCTCTAAAACACATGTAGATACTTCAATTAAATTTTTCTCCAATTAATAAAATTTGAAATATTTGGGTCAGAACTAGGTTCAATTCTAGTAGGATAATTATATAATAATACTATTTATTTGTGGCTTTTAAAAAACTCAGAATTTAGTTACACATTATCTCATTTGATTCTCACACAATCTTGTGAGCTATTTGGGGACCTTATTATGATTTCTATTTTTATAGATGAAGAATCTAATACCTGAGAGGTTAAATTACTTCCTTAAGGGCAAAATGAGTCAGCAGCAAAACCAGTCCCTAATGTCCTACCCACACCTCCCCCATCCTTTACCACAGATTGTATTCCCTGAAGGCAGGGTAACTTCTCATGTCCAGACTCAAGCACCCTGACACTTGTTTAAGGTAGCTCCATGACAATAGAGAGATTTTGGAAGGTGATGAGAGTACACAAGTGAAGGACTCTTTATTACACACCACTAAGAAAGGAACTGTTTAATAACCTGGGTCAGGGTAAGGGTTCTGTATAGTGAAGGAAGTAAAGATTAGATTCTAGGGGAAAGGTCCAAGATTACTCTATTTCATAAAAATTTTGCCAGGAGGATGTTAGAGGAGCAATTGTAAAAGTCTATGTCCTCACTTGAAGTTTTTGAGGAGGGCAGTAAGAGAAAAGGAGAGCAATCATTGGGGTCCTCTTACCCTGAACCCCATTCTGTTTGACCCCAACCCTATATACTTTCTAATCAACAACTACGCATTCATTAAAGAAATGTTTTTACCCTTTGTTTCTCTTTAGATTATGGCATCAGAATGAGCCCAATTTTTCTGCAGAGGAATGTGCTTCAATAGTTTTCTGGAATCATAGAGGATGGGGCTGGAATGATGTTTTCTGTGATTCTAATAGGAATTCAATATGTGAGATGAAGAAGATTTACCTATGAGTGGAACTTTATTCATTGATGCCTTTAAAATTGAGACCTGTCATAAAATGATAATTTCCTCTTATAATTTATGTATAATCCTTAACATAGAGGTTCATGGAAATATTCAGATGCCTTTCTCCCTTCAATCATCTCTCTTCTAGTTTCCTCTTTTCCACTGATAGTTCCATCTTTTCCAATGATAGAATGAACTCTTCCTTCCTTTTTTTTCCTTTAGTTTGTTATTCATTCTTTTCTTTCCTTTCTTCATACTTCTTTTCACAAACATTTCTTGTGCCGGATAGCATACTATTTTGTCTATTAGAAGACTCATGAGGAGGTAACTTCTGAAAATTATGACTTTCCTTCCTCAAAATGCCATTGATAAATCCTTTTGGTCAAGATAGTGACTGGGACTGCAATCATCTGAAGGCCTGGCAAGAGCTGAAGGATACACTTTTTAGATTCTCACTCACATGACTGGCAACGTGGTATTGGCTACTGGTAGGAGGCCTTAGTTCCTCATCACAGGGAACTCTGCAAAGGGTTATTTGAGTAGCCTCACAATATGGTGGCTGGCTTCCACCAGAGCAAATAATCTAAGAGAGCAAGTAAAAGCATCAATGTCTTCTATAATCTAGTCTCAGAAGCCAAACACTGTAACTTCTGGTGCATTCCATTGATCACATAGACCAAACATGATATAATAGAGAAGGGGACTACCCAAAGGCATGAATAACAGAAGGTGAGAATCATTGAGAGCCATCTTGGAGGCTGGCTACCATAGCAGGATTTCTTTAAAAAGATACAAAATATGTGTACTAAAAAGGAAAATAATTAAAAATTGTTTTACACTAAAATTATGTTCATAAAAACGCGATGATGAAAATGAAAAAATATTTAACTGGGAGAAGATATTTTGAATACTTATAACTAACACAGTATTAACACTGAGGACATATAAATAACTGTCACAAATCAATTAGAGAGACAAAAAATGGGCAAAATATTTGAAGAGCATTTCACAGAAGAGGTAATACATAATCCAGCTATCGAGATGCCCAGCTTCACTCATAATTTGAAAATTGCAAGCAAGACCACAATAATATACCATTTAATACCCATTTTAATGGCAAAAATTAAGAAACAGACAATACCAAGAGTTGGAGGAGATGCAGATAAATGGGATCTCTTATACATTGCTGATTTGAGTTTATATTGGTACAACCACATTGGAAAGTACATAAATCTACATTTTTCCTATATAAACATTATTCAACAGATGCTGTATTAACAGAGATCTAAGGACTATGAAATGTGAGTATTAAAATGAGGAGTTGTTCTGTGGGGATAACTTTAACCTAGGAGACCTTCTGCATACTATGCTTATATTATTTAGGCACATATTATGGTAAAACAAATCAAGGATTTGATAAACACAAAGCCCAATATAATGTTACATTTGCATGGTAGGCAGGAGTGGGACTGGGAGAAGCACATAGGCATGTGATAGATAAAGTTCTAGTTTTTGTATTGGGCAGTGGTGTTCGTATAATAAACATCAAACACAACAAAATAAAGCAAGAATGTCAATAAGATAGTGTATTATGAACTCAAATTAGGATTACAATGTTTTTGTGCATCCAAAGTCCAAATATGAAAGATAATTAATGGGAGACTAGATTAATGAGAATTGGGGGTTCTCGACTAACACTTTCAGGTTCAAGATCATACTGCAGTTGTAGTGATTCCAGCATCCAGAAGCTGTTGCCTCCATGTCACAATTGTCTCTCCACCCACAAGAGGCTGGTGGCTAGACACTGGAATATGGTCTAGCCATAACAGTTGCATCTGGAAATTCAAAATTTATGACCTTGATTATCAGCAGAAACATAAATCAGGAAACTAACTCCTGCTTCATTTTCATTTCCAAGTCTCACAGTATTGTTACAAATTTGCATCAAGAAAGTAGTTGGAAGGGAGTCTGGAAAATGTAGTTCATAACTTTCCATCTTGTGAAGCACTGGTAGGCACAATGAAAGGTGTGGGAATGGATGCTGAGTACTGATTGACTAGATCTGGCACAGTTGGGATGTGGCATTCTTGAAATACATTGTAAGATTTGATCTAAGCCTCTCTATCCGTATGTGAGATGACTCACACTTTTCTTTTTGGTGCTCTTCTAGTCTAGAATCAGTTTGTGTTGACTTTGTAGAATGCTTTTCTTCTTTTTCTATTTTCTGAACAGTTTGGTTAAATTTACCTGTAATGTAGTGTCTTAGTCTGTCTGAACTGCTATAACAAAATACCACAGACTGGGTAACTTATAAACAACAGAAATTGATTTCTCACAGTTCTGGAGGCTGGGAAGTCCAAATCAAGGCACCACCATGATTACGTTTTGGTGAGGGCCCTCTTCCTAGTTCATAGCCAGGACTTTCTTGACATGTCCTCACATGGTGGAAGGAGATTCTAGGGGTCTCTCTGGAGCTTCATGAGGGCTCCACCCTTATGATTTAAGCACCTCCCGAAAACCCCACGTCCTAATACCATCATCTTTGGGCATTAGGATTTCAACATATGAATTTGAGGGGGACACATTCAGACCATAGCATGTAGGTACATGTCTCTTAGAAGTTGGTTAAATTTACTTGTAAAGTTCTCTGGACTTGCTGCCTATGTAAGACTATTTCTTTCACCACATTTGTCTCTTTTTTTTGGATAATTGGGTTTCCTTTTTTATGATTTTGAGGCTTAGGGTTTCTAACTCTTCTTAGTCAATTTCACTAAATTTTATTTTCTAGAAAACCATCTATTTCATATTAATTTTTAATTTGTTGGTTTGATTAACTTGCTAGAGCAGCTCACACAACTCAGGAAAACAGTTTACTTACTAGATTACTGGTTTATTATAAAGGATATTAAAGGAGATGACTGAACAGCCAGATGAAGCAATACATAGGGCAAGGTCTAGAAGGGTCCTGAGCACAGGAGCTTCTGTCCCCATGAAGTTTGGGAGCATCACCCTCCTGGCACATTGTTCACCAACGCAGGAGCTCTCTGAACCCCATCCTTTTGGGTTTTTATGGAGGCTTCATTATGTAGGCATGATTGATTAAATCATTGGCCACTGGTTATTAATTCAACCTCCAGCTCCTCTCCCCTCCCTGAAGGTTGGGGGAGGTGGGGCTGAAAGTTTCAACTTTCTAATCACATGGCTGGTCCTAGCCTCTATCCTTAGGTTATCTAAGGGCTTTTCAAAAATCATCTCATTAACATAAACTCAGGTGTGGTTGAAAGGGGTTTTTTATGAATAACAAAAGACACCGATTTTACTTTTATTGCTCTGAAGGTATTTCAGGAACCAAGGACAAAAATTAAATAATATAACAAAAGATTGCTATTGCTCTAATCACTTAGAAAATTACAAGGGTTTTGGGAGCTGTGAGTCAGAAATGAAGAACAAAGATCAAATAAATATCTTAATACATATTTCTTATTATAAATCACTATATCACAATCCACAACAGATTTCTGCATTATATAGCAAATTTTAAAACAAATTGCCTAATTATTTAACACAGTCGTGCAGCACACAATCTGTTTTGGTCAATGACAAACCACATATACGACGGAGGTCCCATAGATAGTACTGTATAGACTAAATGTGTAGTAGGCTATACCATCTAGGTTTGTGTAAGTACACTCTATTGAAGCTGGTGGCCAGATAGCCATTAATGACTATTCTTAAAAGTTATGTAGATAAGAAATATATTATCAGACTCCCATTAGGTTCCTTTTGGTAATATCTCTGATGTTTGGGTCAACATGGCAACTTGTACTTAAGTTGTTTTTCAGGCACTGAGAGTTGACCCCTTTTCAGCTCAGGCTGGTTGTCCAGCTCGGGCTGGTTGAGATCACTGACCCATCAACAGGGCCTGCACAAATGTAGGTGACCTCTGACATTGGGGGGCCAAAAACTACACTCTCAGATCATGCTAATGTTACCATCTTGTGAATGTGTGTCCTATGAAGTGATGTGAAACTTGACTATGCTTGCAGAGCATCAATTACCTCACTTTTCCTTACCTCCAATCATTTATCCCCACACTTCAGACTACCTTGGCCCTTTATCTCTAATCCCTGTTTTCTGGGAGGCAGATTTGTGAATTGTTCTCCCATCTTCTCGCTTGGCTACCTTGCAAATAAACCCTTTCTCTGCTACAAAACTCATCTTCTTGGTGATAGGCATACTGTGTGGCAGGTAAAATGGGCCTGGTTTGGTAATGCTATGATGTTCACACAATGACAAAATTGCCTAACAATGCATTTATCAGATTGTATCCCTGTCATTAAGCGATGCATGACTGTACATATTACACTTATTAGTGGGTACATTTATATGCAAATATTGCACAACAGGAATTATGTTATCCTTCTTTATTGCAATGAAAATACTGTAATGTAAGAAAAAAAACCCATCTAAATTAACCCTGGGTTGATTGGGCTCAAGGTATCTGGCAGAAGAAAGCAAGAGCCTATAAAGGTCTATGCATTTGAGGAAAGGATTGGGAAGTTAGTATGATACATTTCACCTGGACTTATGAGCAGCTTGGAGAGTTTTTGCTATGACATATATGCAGATTCTAGCAAGTTGTTTTCTCCTCTGGAATAGAAATTTTGGATAAGAATTTTGTAGGATGCTTTAGTAAATATTTGGATATTGAAACTTCATGTAGGAAGAGATGTCTGTATATTGAAGCCACATGCTAGGTACATACAAGGCTAGAGTTGTTATTTGTACTTGGCAAATTAAATTTTTTATCATTTTGACATCACTTTCTTGAACTTTATTAATGCCTTTGGGTTTAGTTTTTCTCCTGATATTAAAATAGATACACCAACCTTCTTAAGGTTAGTGTTGTAAGATATTTTTTTCTCTCCTTTATTTTTGACTTTCTTGATTCTTATGTTTTAGATGTGCTTCCTGTAAACAGCATATAGTTAAATTTTTAAAGAGTTCAATCTGACAACCCATTTTTTAGGTTGCAAATTTAATGCATTTATATTTATGGCAATTCCTCATACATATGCTTTTAAATCTATCATTTTACTAGGTAGTTTCCATTTTCCCTAACATGTTTTATGTTCCTCCCACCCCCCGTCCCTCTGCCTACTTCTTTGTCTTCTTTTAGATTGATTATTTTTTAATCATTATTTTCCCTTTTTGTTATTTTGGGAGTCATACGCATTTTTACTATTCTTTTAGTGGTCACTCTAGAAATTGCAACATGCAGCAATGACTATCAAATCTAATGTTAACTGATGCTTTTGCTGTCCTCCTGGAGAATGTAAGAACCTTAGAACATTTTAGCTCCATTGCTACTCTTCTTGATTTATAAGCTATTGTTGTTATGTATTTTAATTCTACAGTCAATGTCGATGTAGATTTATCTCTATAGTTACCATTTTTTATTTCACTTCACTCATTCCTGTATCTCAAACATCATACCTGGAATCATTTTCTTTCTTTATGAATAACAATCTTTATATTTTTATTTATATCAGTCTTCTGGTGGCATGTTTTTAAATGTTTGCCTGAAAATGTTTTTATTTTATATTTATGCTTGAAGATAATGTTTGCTGGGTATAGAATTCTATGTTGGTAGTGATTTTCATTCAGGTCAATGAAATTATCATTCAACACCTTCAGGCTGTTATAATTGTTATTAAGAATTGATAACAATTCAACTAAATTTTGCTCCTTTGAAGGTAATTTCCCTTTTTCTAGTGCATTTTTAAGA